TCATCAAACTGTTTGTCAATGTAGTCAACAATAGCAGTAAAGCTGTCTTCCTTATTTATCTGATCTCCATAGCCAACTGTGTCAACAATTGTCAGCTGTAATGGAGATTCAAGGAAATATAAATATGTAATTTCATTAATTTCACTATTCCATGAACCTCTTCAAAATTATTTGATTATTATCTGGTTCCAATATCTACAAAACATATTTTAAAAATCAACAGCAACAACCACCACATTACTAGAAGTAAATGTCAAAACAATGAACACTTACCTTCAGCCTGACATTAGATTCCTGAAGTTCATATGTATGAGACTTAAGCTTGACAGATGGCAATGTGTGTGGTGCTGGATTAGACTCAAAGCTGGTATTGAAGAGTGTATCCATTAAGGTGGATTTGCCCATGCCAGTTTCACCTGAGCAAAACAGCAGGTGCCAAAGGAGATTTGGGGGTTAATTTTTATAAAAATCTAACTGAGGGATGAAGCATCTAACACTATACTCAATCTAATTCTGCCAGGGATCGCATGTATGTACATACTCACTAATTATCTTTACACAAGTACAAAGTCACCAACAAACCAATTATGAGTACTATCTATCACACTGTTTACCCTTTTCCTTGATTTTCAGTGAAATCAGGTGAGATCACAAGGTCTATTAATCAATTCCTTACAGCCAAGCACTACAGAGAATATTACATTTTCCTGAAATGGTGGGTTCAATAAAGAAGGAAAGAAAGATGGAAAAAATAATCAGGTCAAGACAGCCCATTCACCTCAGAGGGTATAGTGGGGGCATGTTGGAAGGTATGCATTAGTACAATTCCAATCTGGAAAATAATAATGTAGCCAATAAACAAACCTTGCCAGGCAGGGCAGCAGCTGGCTGGACTTTTCTCGACAAACAGGTTTATAAGCATAAACCATTAAGTACGATATATGTCATTCCAATATATTCCATTATTCTATCCTTTAGTTTTCTCCCATGAGCTTGAGAAAACCCATCTATCAGATTTTCTTTATTTTTTGTATTGCTACCAATATTGCCCATTTTGTAAGTCTTTGGAAATACCCATAAAAGGAATTAACCCTCCTATGGATTGTTAATCAAAGAAAGAAAGAACAAAAAAACTTTTACATTCATTTGACTGACAACTACCCTCCCTTCATTCAAAAGAAAAATGTTCAGGATATGACAAAAGTGGAACAAATAGCCTTCCCTGAATAAAACATAACCAGTCCCACCTTTATAGTTTATAAATTATAATCTAATCTGATGTAGAATTGAAATATAATTTAATGTGGAATAAATAAAAAAAAGTTTATAAACATCTTAACCATTGGATTCTAGTGATGTGATTGTCATGCCATAAAAATATTTGTCTAAGGACTAAAGATGGAAAAATTGAGAAAAGAGAGAGAGAGAGAGAGAGAGAGAGAGAGAGAGAGAGAGAGAGAGAGAGAGAGAGAGAGAGAGAGAGAGAGAGAGAGAGACATCCTGCCAACCCACACACACACAATATAAAATAAATAAATAAAAAATAAAGAGCGAGAGAGAGCTGTAACATCATAATATGACATGAATGACCTATCACAATAATAATAATCATAATAATAATATCAATAATAATAACGGTGAAATAATGATATAAATACAAATAATAATGATAATAATAATAATGATTATCATCATTATTATAATAATAACAATCACAATAATAACAATAACAATAAAAAGAATAACAATATAAAAAATAATAATAATAATAATAACAGTAATAGTAAAAGTAATAATAATAATAGTAAAAGTACTAATAATGGTAATAATGATAATAGTAGTAGTAATAATAATAATAATAATAATAATAATAATAATAATAACAACAACAATAATAATAGTAGTAGTAATAATAATAATAGTAGTAGTAGTAGTAATAATAATAGTAGTAGTAGTAATAATTAGTAGTAGTAGTAGGAGTAGTAGTAGTAGTAGTAGTAATAATAATAGTAGTAGTAGTAATAATTAGTAGTAGTAGTAGGAGTAGTAGTAGTAGTAGTAGTAATAATAATAGTTGTAGTAGTAATAACAATAATAATAATAGTAGTATTAATAATAATAATAGTAGTAGTACTAATAATAATAATAGTAGTCGTAATAATAATGAAAGTAATAATAATAATGGTAATAATAAAAATAGTAATAATAATAAAAGTAATAATAATAATAGTAATAATAATAATAACAGTAATAGTAATGATAATAATAATATCAACAACTACTACTACTAAAAATAAATATACTGCACCAAAACAATACAAAATATTTTTCCTGCTTAATATATCAATCTCACATCTATAATCAACTAGGCAATTAACTTACCAATGCACAATATATTGAAAGTAAAGCCATTCTGGGTGGACTTGGATACAAGCTGGTCTGGCAGAGAGTCAAATCCAACATGACCATTAAGTTTTAGGGTACGGATCTTCTCCTCAAC